TCTCGACTAATTCCCAAAGATCTTGAGACCGAAAAAGCGTTTTCATTTTGATGCTCCAATATTCATAAGATACACCTTTGAAGACTGGAATTTGTGGTGATGACACATTGACCGTAGATAGGTTTGCTGCCATATTTAACAAAGAAAAGGCAACCTAGCTCTGATACCAGATTGTTGGAAATACGTACAGCAAAGAGAAGAAACAGAAGGAATTACCCAGCAACTTGTGTTGTTTATTTGAATCAAGCAGGTGCCTTATATAGGCAGTACAAAAGGCAAAAGATAAATACTCTAGTTAACAAACTCACTACCTAACTGACTAAAAAACAGGAAACCAACTGGAGACTTGACTCTCCTTATTTGACTATATCAAACCTAGAAAAGAACTGCAAATTGAATTAATCTTCCAACATTTAAGCTTTTAATTATTTATCGGATAACCTCTTGCATTCAAGAATTGTACCCCCTGATCGCAATGCTCCCGTTGCAGGTCCTTTCTCTCTGTACTTTCATACGACCTTCTAAATGGATTAAAAGATTTGAACAATTTCCCTAGATTCACCGTTGTATTTCTTTCTTCCACCATCAAGGACATCTCTGTTGCTTTGTTAAGACCCACCGGAGAGAGAAGTCTCATCTCTGCTTTGTTGGTGATTTGTATCACTAATATCATTTAAATGTAATGGGATTAATTTGTTGACCAATGTAATCATGATAAATATCGAACAAGTAAGAAAAGTGCGGAGTGCACACTTGCTTGAGTTTATTTTGATTTAGGGGCGAAGCCCCTAAACAACGGGGTCTGGGGCAGCGCCCCCGGTGGCGGGGTCCAAGGGGCAGAGCCCCTGACTGGGTCGAGCTGCATCAAATTTTTTTTATTCGGGTAATATTGCTTTGTGGAAAATGCATCAGAAATCTGAATTTTAGATTTTAAACCCGGTTTAGGGTTCAAAAAACTGTCGTTTTTGACAGTTTCCGTATTTTTTTTTAATTTTCGAATTGGTCATTTTCGTTTGAGAGGTACACAGATTCATAACGTTTTGGATTCAAAGTTCTGTCCATCACTGAATTTTATCCGATTGAGATTTCGATTGTACCATCGAAATACTTCAATCTGAAAGTGATTTACGACTTTCAGTGGATTCCAAGCAATTGGAAAACCAGAAATCTCTAACATGCTTGGTGTTAGGCTGTTTATGAACTGACTCACAAACAACTCTTCCGAAATTCCATCCAATGGTGCCGCCATATCAATAAAATTTCTTTTGTATTCTTTGACTGTTCCTTCCTGTTTTACGAAATCTTTTTCATAAAGACTCCCCTCCGCGGTTAATCTGAATTGGGCCCATAAAATCCTCTTAAGTTCCTCCCAATTTGTAATTGGGCATCTCCTGTGTTTCCACGAAAACCATTGAAGAACATCTCCTTCAAAAGTGATGACGCCTACTTCTAAGTCTTTCTTCATTATTTAGATGATTTAACGTCCCGTAACAAAAACCCACCCATCGGGATTAGTTCAATCGAATACAGGCATCTCCAATCGACGATCTTTGATGGCCAATAATGGGTCCGATTATGGATTTCTCTCATCATCACGCTCACGTCTTTTTCCCAGATTCTGGTCCATTCCCACCTCAAGTTCGATTTCTCGATGATTCCACCTGAAATCGTAAAAGTGTTCTCAAGTGTGCCAATGTACTCCAGAGCTTCGAATTCTTGCTCTAATACCAAGAAATGAAAGTTCACGATGAAAACCCTAATTTGCATTCATTAATCTCAACATTCGAGAGGTTGAGATCACAATTCCCTTTATTACAAGCATGCCTTAACAGATTTAATCAATAATCTAAACAAAATATGTTAATCGGAAGCAATTTGGATAATTTTTTTTTATAAATGAACTTAATCAATCAATACAAAAAACAATATGAACATGGAAACGTAGTCATATGATTAATCGTGGCCATCAGTCTTACATGGATTGAAAATGATATAGGGGTATTTGGAGAAGGAATGTTTATAAAAAACAACTCATTTTCAGAAATTACAAAAGGGGAAGGAGACTACTATGTATAGGATAATACAAAAATAGTGCTTTTCTTACTTTACATCAATTTTTTTCTTTTTATACTTTTAACACTAAAACTGGGACTAACATCTCTCTCTAAGTGTTAAAAGGAAAACAATAAAAAGAAAATAACTTTTACATCACAAGATATCTTCCCATTTTACTTCTAGTACTTGAGTTCCCACAAGATATGATAATCACATAGCTCCCCCCTCAATGTGGCAACATCATTCTAACAAAACTCTTTAAGTCTTTACGCCTTCTGACATTCAACTCTAGAAGTAGCATTATCTCGGGGATGTAAATATAGAGGATATCATATTCTCTAACATTGACGGTTTGTCATCTCTAACCTTTAAGGCTTGGAATCTTTAGAGAGGGTCTCGATTTGGAAGACTTAAAATATTCCAAGCTCCCCCTCAACATTATGCTCTTATGAAGAAATATTCCAAAAAATGATCAAGTAACTCTTGGTAATCTTCAGAGGCTTTGGACTCTGAGAAAAAATCTTCCAAAAATGAGAAGACCGGAATGAGTATCAACCAAAAATATTTGTTGCAATAGTAGACCTTGAAACTACCAAGTGTCCAACTTTGAGAGCTAGAATGTGCTTCTTGATCATTTGTTGTTTGGAAGCATTTTCTAATGAAGAACGGGTCAGAACTGAGATGAACTGAATCCGTGGAAATTGTGAACTTCAGAAAAACATTTGATGTGAACGTTAAGCAAAACATTCAGGAGTTGGATGTGTTTTAGTGTAAGCCACAATACCACCCTACATTTCCAAAAAAAATCTTTTAACAGTAAAGAAGGCTACTGTCCAGCACCATTGCACTAACTTCTATGATGCTTCTGACAATGAAATATCTGAATTTTGGAAAACTTAAAACAGAAACATTGGTGCTCGAACGAGTGAGATATGATAAAAATGCCAAGGTTGTGTAAATCTGTCAGCAACTTATGCTATAATATTCCAGCTTCGTATCACCTTCTGGTCTATGTTCCCTTTATGGTTGGATTTTCCAGAGGTAACCCTATATCTAGTAAATTTTTTCAGAGCATACCTGTACCTCTGGTCATGAAGGCTTGCTACCTCTAGTCTTTGAAACTCGAATGAACAAAGAAGGATAATATCCAACAACGTTACACCAACTTCGACACTAATTTATACCATGATATCTCTAGGGTTTTTAAAAAAATCAAGACATAAAAAGTATAAAATTGTCTATATATATGATCATGGAATCTGTATTCACCTTCTTTAGAGCTCATACGAATAATATAGGATCGATGTAGTAAAGTCGTGCAGATCTATTCTACAACTTTTGATTCAACGTGTTAGCTTCTGACTGAGTGAACCTTCTGATATAAAGCATGTAACTCATTAGAGCTCTGGAACTTTATTCCAGAGGCTCTAGAACTATATGCAGAACCTTTGGACCTTCATATCAAGAAGCAAATATGACTCGTGCATAACAGCTTTGCTCAGCACACTACATTCCACTTCAACGGTACCTATAACCATTCTACGGATCGAACCTTTGAAAACTAAAAACATGGAACTTGTAGATACATCTATTATCTATCCGCGGCCATTTGGATCGCCTTAATTGGTGCTCTATGAAAGAGATATGAACAATATTACATAGCATCGCAAATTTGTCAGCGTCTTGAATTTTCATTCATCACCGTAAAATTGAATCATGTTATGCACAACTAATCAGTGTTTCTTGAATCTTGCATAGATTTCACACTTATGTAGACGAGCTTGTTATAACTGAAAACCGCTTCAGATCACGATTTTGCTAGTCTGTATCTTCAGCTTCTATCTTTGATATTGCTGAAGGAATCGTGGTGTGAGTTTTGTCTTCCTGAACGATACTTATCTCTGAAGGAATTACAATACATGTTCAGCGATCACTGAACAGACTCAGTGATGATCGCCGAAGCTGAATACAGAGATAGTACATTTCGTAAGGTTAAAAGAATCATCATCAAATCACTGAGAGAGATAATCAACATTAACTTTGATTCTTTGTTACATATGAGCAAGCATGAAATGGTTAAAGGGTTGTCGAGTATTAACAAATCTAATGAGGTATGCGGGGCATATACACTTGTAAACATGCAAGGGAATCCTTCTCACAAGAGGAAACTTGGAGAGCCTCAAAACCATTGGAACTCATAGACTCTGATGTATGTGGTCCAATGAGGACAGAATCCATTGGTGGTAGCAGGTACATTCTCACCTTCATAGATGACTTTACTAGGAAGGTTTGGGTATATTTTTTAAAGGAAAAGTCTAAAACTTTTCACTCATTTGAAATCTTTAAAGCATTAGTTGAAAAGCAATGTGATCTCAAAGTAAAATGTTTGAGATCAGATCGTGAGGGAGAGTATAATTCTCTCCATTTTAAAGATTTTTTTTGGAAAAACAAGGTATTGATCATCAGTTAACTACTTGTTACACACCCCAACAAAATGGGGTGGTAGAAAGAAGAAATCACACACTCCTAAAAATGGCTAGAAATATGCTTCAGAACAAAAGGTTACCTAATATGTTTTGGGCGAAGGTTGTAGCTTGCGCCACTTGCTTGTTAAATAGGGCTTCCATAAGAAGTTTGTCCACTAAGACACCTCAAAGAAATTTGGTGTGGGTTCAAGCCACCTGTTGCTCACCTTAGAGTATTTGGGTGTGTGGCATACTCGCTCATCCCTGATCAAAGAGGAAATCAACTTGATGACAAAGAATGGGACTTGGGATCTTGTTGCTGTATGGAGTCTCTGAAGAGAAGTAACTCCGAAGAAGGGAAGCTTACTCTACGTTGTATACCTATATTCTTTGTATGAAAATGTCGATGTAATTCTGAATACTAAATATATATAAAAGTTAAAAGTTTGGTATACATATTTTGTGTGATTTGGCATTCTGTTCAACAATAAAAACCATTTCAGGCCTCGTTCAACTATTATTATCATAGATGTTGGACGATGAAACGACAACATACCTTTTACATCCCGATCAACCATGCATGCAGCCTTTTCATCCAAATCTTTACAATTACAATACATATAAAAAGAGGTCAGTGGCTACTTTTGCTCATTTGGTCCCTCCTCTTGTACACCGCCCCCTTCTTTAACCTCCTGAATCATCTTTAATACCTGCCACATGGTGGGTCTTTGTTCCGGCGAGCTCCCCCTACACACAATTGCTACCTCAACCAGCATCATCATCCGCCGGTCCTCCGCCTCCACAGCACCGTTTTCCCTCGCCGACCTAACCCATTTCACCATATCATCCGCCATCAAATGAGGGTGCTCTGAAGCAGGCTTCCCTGTTAGCAGCTCAAGCAATAGAACACCGAACGAGTAGACATCGGATTTAGCGGTAGGTTGGTGGTTTAATTTGCGTATTTCTGGTGGGTCGTAGGCGGCAGGATCTTCAGGGTGGCGGGGGGAGAGGGCGGAGAGGCAGTAGTCGGAGAGACAGGCTTCGAAATCGGAGCCAAGGAGAACGTTGGATAATTTGAGATTGCCGTGAACAAGTCTCCATGCTTGGTGGATGTAGCAGAGGCCTTGTGCCACGTCCTCTGCTATCTTCAGGCATGAGGTCCAGTGCAGCGGCTTCGCTCTTGTTGACTTTGACCCTGCATAAGTCAAAATTATATATAATTCTCAAAATAGTCGGTTTAAATGGTCTATTCGTTAGCGATTTAGTTAGTTTAACGGGATTTATAGCTTATTCATTCAGCTAATATTAATATTTAGTGGCCGACTTAATGTTATAGAAAGTGTTAGTTTCTACAGAAAGTTTTAACTCAAGTTTCTAAAAGTCAAAAGTAAAGGTACTAATTTTGACTACATCCGCCCATGGTCAAATGTGAGTCAAATCGTGTGTTGTACTGAGTCAAGCGACCGATTTTAATGAAAAAACTTGCCGTGAATGAGAGAGAAGAGACTTCCGTTGGCCTGGTAATCATAAACGAGAAGTCGCTCTTCTTTCGCCTGAAAATAAGCTCTAAGAGGCACCAGATTTGGGTGGCGAAGGCCGCCCACCGCCTCCATGTGTCTTTCAAACGTCTCTTTGGTGGTTCCGGCCATTCTACCGGCATCTAGCCGCTTCACACACACGATCAGACGGTTGTCTAGCACCGCCTTGTAGGTGGTTGCCACCGATCCTCTCCCTAGCAACTCCGCCGATGCCCTCATCAGCTGTTCCAGGGTGTACAGCTGCGTTTCTCCGGCGCAAAACACCAGGTTTCCGCTCTTTCCCATTGCCATTCCTTGTTGTAGCTTCTTCACCTTCTCTTCCAACTCGTTTGTCTCCTCCATCCTCATCACTTCCGCAGCTGCGTCCGCCGCCGCTGCCATCTCCATTATCTCACTAGAAGACATAATGTCTTTTCTCTTCTTTTTCTCCGACGCCTTCATCGATATCAGCAGACACATAATCGAAGAAATTAGTACCACAATGCCAGCGGAGAAACCAATAATCAATGCCAATCTCTTGTGCTTTCTCGAATTGGAATTTGTAAAACCCGTCATCCCCTCTTGCATTTGCGTGCTTTGCCCTAGCACCACCCTCGGCGGTGGTGGTGGTGCTGCCGTGGAATTTTTGCCGAAGAAAGGTCCGATTGAACTGCACTCTGTGCGAACGATCTCACCACAAAGTCCAGGATTAAACGAAAACGAGGAGGCGGTGAAATTAGCGAGGGTAGGAGTTACTGGAACTGGACCAGTTAAACTGTTGCACGAAACATTCAAGATCTGAAGAGATGACTGTTTCAATGGAGGAATAGAACCATTAAAACGATTTGAATCGAGCCTAAGGTAATTTAATCGGTCTAACTTTGTGATATCCAGGGGAATAACTCCAGATAATTTGTTGTATGAGAGATCTAAGGTTCGTAGACGGTGAAGGTAGGAGATTGATAATGGAATGGCACCACTGAAGGAGTTGTGATCCAGAAACAGGGTTTTGAGGTTAACGAGTCCGGCGAGGTTAGGGATGGGTCCGGTTAGCGAGTTGCTTTGCAGACTCAGAACTCGTAACTGGTCGAGGCGAGTCAATGTGTTGGGAGCAAAAACTCCGGCCAGGCTCAAATTCTCAAGAACAAGGTGAACCACCTTACCGTCGGACTGGCATTGTACTCCCTGCCATTTGCAGTGGGTGGAGGTGGTGTTAACGGAATAGGGAAGCTTGTTATGGAGATCGGCTTTGTATTTGAATTCCAAAATGGATAAAGCATCATCTAATGCTGCTACCTGAGTTAGGGTGTAAAAGGAGAGGAAAAGAATGAGGAACGATCTCATCGTAAAATCAACAATGGTGACATTTGGATGATATGTATGAATCAGTTAAAGACTTGAGAAGAGTTATGGATATGGAAGATTAGGGTTTTGGTATGGATGGGTATTGGGGGTTGCGTCGAATGACTAGACTAGCTGCAGATAATACAGGGAGAATCACGTGAAAGGTTTTGAAACAATTTTTGGTCTGTTATGTTTTACAATAGATAAAATAACTCACGAATAAAAACACAGGCGAAGGAAAGTGACAGCCATCTTAACCTTGGTTATTTTTGTTCGTTTATTTTTTAATAATTTTAATTTTTAAATCGTTAAGAGATGAATTTTATTTGGTAAAAAAAATTGTTTTTTAATAGTTTTAAAACCCTTTAAATGATTTTGTATCATAAATCTCTCTTAACCATTAAGATCCCTAATTTCATTGTACACAATTACCAAACAATTATATTTCATTTTGCATTATATCATGAGAGTCTCTTAATCATTCTGACCACTTAATCATTTTGCACCAAACCATTTAGCAATTGCCAAATAGCCCTTTATTTAGGATCCGTTTACCTAAATGCTTACTCGGTAAGCGTTTATCGTTAATAGTCGACACTATAATTTATTTTACCAGGTAAAATTTCGAAACAGTATCGTATGCAACAACTCACCCAGTAAACGTTTACTCGGGTAAAAGTCATCATCCTCACTTACCGAGTAAGACTCCTCATCTTTATCATTGCTCTTACCTGGTAAGATTTTTGATTTTGTCATGTTCATCCGGTAAGAAAAATTACCTAGTAAGCATTTATTGGGTAAACGTTTGGTAAACGGCTCCTTAGAAAAAAAAATATGATGTATTTTGGTGTACATCATTAGTATTGATATTTAATAGGATTGATCTAAAATGAAGATTTTTTCTTCAACTTCTTTTTTTAACCTTCCTTCTCATCCGAAACCCAACCTGAAAAACACATCTATTATTTGTTAAATGTACGATTATTTGTTAATATCATTTCCTACAATTATTAATATCAAAACATCATTTTTACATATTTAATGTGTAATTCAATGTGATTGTAATATAAATAGGTATGTATGTATAATCGAATCAGAATTAAATCAAATCATTCATTAAATATGTAAAAAATAAAGTTTTCATATTGATGGATTTGTTAATTTGACCATATATACATATTAAAATTACCCCTCAATCATTATTTAAATTTTATGGGTGTGTTAATTTCTTACAAGCTTATTTTTTATAATTTTGATGTATAATTTGATCTAGTTTTGATATAAATATAGCAACATCAATCATAAGGATGGTGCCTGATTGATTTGAGCTTGGCTCCAAAGGTCAAAAGTATCTGGAGGCACCGGGTTCAAATCCAAGGAGGAATAAAAATTCTCTTGTGGCCACGGAGGTTCAAATGCGGTGATTATGTGCTATTTGTAAAGTAGATGGTCGTCCTGGGATTAGTCGGTTCGCATAGCGGGTTGGATATCCAGGTTTATATATATATATATATATATATATATATATATATATATCAACATCCAAATTTTGTAAGTCTTGATTATTTACTAATATAAAGTATCATAATTAATGAACTCTAGTTATATTTCATAAATATTTAAACCATAATAAATGAACTCTCATCATTTTTATAAATATCTCAGTTGATTGGGTTGTATTGGTTATACAAATGTGATGAGATACATCTGAAACATTATATCTCTCTCTCTATATATATATATATATTATAAGTTTATTTCATTAAGATGTTATTAATGGGTTTAAGTTAAAGATATTAGATAAAAAGCAACCAACAAAACAAAAAGGTAATAGGTAGATTTTCTTTATGTCACTTTTCTTTCTTTTATTTGAATCAAACTCATAATAGTTGAGGTTAAGGTTGAGGTTGGGCTTGGGAATGAACATAAAGATGATATGATTTCAAAATCTTCTCTCAATTATGATGCAAACCTTTTTTTGTTGGTTTTAACTTTATAAAAAGATGGAGTATCCATTCTTGTTGTTTGCCTGCAATTCATGCCCTACCGTTTGACTACGGATTAAACTATTGACTTATGTAAAATTTTAGGTTTTTTATCTCTAACTAGTTTTGTAATATTAAATATTACAATGTCAGTTCATGTATATATATTATTTTCTTTAATTATAGTTATAGATTATAAATATAATGATTAATTTATTGATTTTCATTTTTTTTTTGTTCATATTATCATTCTCATAATTGTTGTTACAATCAATCATTTTAATACATAACTAAAACTTTAGACCATCATTAAATAAATCTCTTCGAAATATTAAACATGACATTTTTTTTGATTTACCGAATATAAAATAAATTAAAATTTTCTTTTTTTATACAAAGTCTTTATACCGCTGTCTGCATAGTAAAATCAATTTATCGCCAATAAAAACATCATTTTTTTCATTACGTATTTTTAATATGATATTATATAAATAAATAAATATAACTTTAAACAAATTTAAGTAATTTTAAGCATAATAAAACAAAGAACATATATCATATAATATAAATAATTTAATAAAAGCAAACAAATAATGGATATCACATTTTATTTCTTTTCAAATAAATAAATACATAAAGATCATTGATGTGTTCTTTTAAATAACAAACAGTCACATGATATATACTGGTTTATTAATAACCACAATACAAAGAATCACATAAAAAATACAAATTGAAAAACTCTATAAATATAAAAGATGGAGAAGAAAATTTATAATAACAAAACTCCACATAGATTACACTTAATCATAATCTGATTGTTGTCTAAAAACAAAAAATAAAAGCTTGAATAGATACAAAATATTAATAAAACAAAATTACGTAAAATAAAAAGACACATAAAAAGAACGCATACACAATATAAATAAATTCCAAAAATAAGGATGACGAATAATATATTCAAAAAAATATAATAGAGAAGAAATTTTTGAACAAAACATTCGTCAACAACATATAACCCACATAGATCATAAATTAAGATGTAATATTTGTTATCAGGAAAAGTTTATAGAGGAATAACATTCGGTATGGACAATAAAAATAGTCTACATAACAAAAAATACAATATATAATGCATAGAAAAACAAATGTAATAATAATTAACAAAATATAATAACATGGAATAAAAAGCACCCATCAACAACAAATTAACCCACACAAATCATTATATAAAATGTAACAATTCTTATATGAATTTTATGGAGAAAGAACAATAATATCGACGATAAAAAAATCTGCAAAAAAAAAAACACAACACATCAATAACAACAAATAGCTTACATAAAAACATAAAATAAACCATAAAAAATGTAGCTTCCATCTTGATTTAGATATTCGATTGTGTAGTTTGCAATATGATGGAAGAATTAGGGCTTGTTTGTTTTTTGAAAAAAACCACTTAATGCCTCTTAAGTCTGAACCGGTCAGACGTTTTTATTTTCAGACCGTTTGTTTTTTTATATAAATAAGAGCTGAAAAACTCTTAATTTGCTCTGAAAAAAAAGTGATAACATAATCACTTAAATCCTCTTAATCGCTCCCTCCAGACTCTCCCCTCCATCCTCACCTCCAGATTTAGTCCTCCAAATCTATCTCGCAAGACATTCGATCTCCAAATCAATCACGACCCAGATCGATCCACATATTCTCGTAAAATCATGACCCAGATCAATCCAAATCTATCAGATCCAAAACTTAACTGATTCAGATTTCAGATTTCAAACGTAAAAACAAACAGTCTGACTGATTCAGATTTCAGACTTCAGTACCACCTCTTAAAATTCAGAAGTGAAATCAGACTTCAGACTTCAGAACCTCTTAAAAAACAAACGCCACCTTAGTAAAACAAAAGAAAAAACGTTAAATGAGATATAATATATATATATAGATGGGATTAAAAAACGGAATAGAAAAACGAAAGGTCTAGAACATTTATAAGTTAATAAAAGACAATTTATATAACCAACAAAATAAATCTAAATTTTTTGAAAAAAAAAAGAATTATGAAATATTTTTTCACAAAGTGTCACATAAGAAACTCAATATTTTACTTTTAGATTTATATAAAAGAATGATGCCAAATGCTCAATTAAGGACATCTCTGGCTTGGAAAATTTTGTTTTCATTTTGGAGGAAATAATGAAATACACATTTTCCATTCACGGGTAAAAAAATATTTAACTTATTTAACATTTCATAAATTCAAAACAATGAGAAATTCTCTTTTAAAAATAATCTTGTGACAATGTCTCACATCATTTATTGTAAGTTTATTTTAATTAATAGATGAAAAGATGAAAATAGTATAATAAATATCAAGAATGAAGATGAAAAGGTTGGGGGTTAAACTTTTTAAAATTACCAAAACAATATTTTAAAGATTGTTATAATATCTTGAAATCATAAAATATAAAAACTTTATTCGAATTTATATGATCTAATCGTAAACACAATCATGTTTTACGATAACAATGAATCAAACAATATTGAAAAGAAGAAATATGTAATAACAAATCACATTTTCTAAATAATATAATTTTTACATACCTTTTTAAAACCTTTTAAATATTCTTCAACTCTTATTTCTTCATTATCCACCAAACGATTTCTGTAAATTGAAAAAATCTTGAAGTAGTCAAAATTTAACGTAATCATCAATCACGTATAAATAGTTATTGTTAATGGAGCTTAAATTCGAAAAAGATTTATCATATCCTATGATTACAAAATATCAAAATTTTATTCGAATTTATATGATCCAATCGTAAACACAAGCATATCATATAATAACAACAAATCCAACAATATTGAAAAAGAAATATGAAATAACAGATCACATTTTTTAATGAATATAATTTCTACACATCTTTTTAAAATCTTTGAATTCTTCTTCAACTCTCACCTTCTTCATCCCTCACTAAAAGAATTTGTAGGATTTCATTTTGTTTATTATTGAAACTTTGAAAAACAAATTTCATTAAGA